TAATCACTGGAATACAGAACTTATCGACAATACTTAGCTTATAATCAAAACTGAGACCAAATATCCGGATACAGTATCATAAAAGTACAACACATTAGACCCAAACACACATCCGTTTCCCAAAAAACAAAGCGTTAAATAAATTACAAAAAAACTCTTTATTAAATTCATGGCTTTATTAAACACTCAATGAATACAAAGAATGGATAACTTAAGCGGCGGTCTTCTCCTCTTTGATGCGATCCTTTTTCATCGGACCCTACGATCAGACAAAAAATAAAAACCATTAATAAATGCAATGAAAACCCCATCGCATGGAAGGGGAGGTCAGGCTATGCATCAGAAGGAAGGCAGCAAAAGATATCTTCATTAGTAATTGGATTAAAACTAATTGCAATCATCACTGTTAGCACCGGGAGAATAGCACTTGACAATACAACTCAAGAGGAATGCCTACCATGAAAGCCTTTTTCTCTTGAGGCGTCTGGAACTTGCCATGACCCATCTTCGAGGACGTGTCGATGAACTTCAGGTTAATCTTCTCGGTCGCCACTCTCTTCGTCTGAACCAACAGTGACTACGGGAGTGGAGAGACAAACCATTTAGTAAATTATTGCATACTTATTACGATCGCAACTATCATTCACTGCACTCTCAGTCCTATCATTTTGAATATCACATATATTCAGATTTAAAAAGCTCTTTGTTTAACATCATTGGGCAGTCATTCAACACCGCATTCACCGACAAAAATACATACTTTTCTCAGCGTTAACACACGCTTCTTGGGTCCAACGGTACAGCCCTTAAGCATCAGATAATCGCAATTCACTTCTCCGTAGTGGGGGAAACCGCCCTAAAAATCAATGCAAACACATTAAAATCACTGAAAAAAATATTAAAAACAATTTAAACAAATAGTTTATAAGACTCAGTCCGCCCTAAATTATCGTCAATAGGTTTCGGTAGTGTTTATACACATGTGTTATCCATCAGATGTCTCATAAACCAAATATCAAACACAAAAAAAAAGCCATTCAATGCATACCATAGGAGTGATCGTCTTCTCAGTGATGTCCTGATCGGTGGACGCATTGCTTTTGGCGTCTTTGCCACCCTTTCCGATGCGGTAAATCTTTTTATTGATTTCCGTGCGGTGGTGGTAACCCTTCTGACCGGCGCGCGCGACCGTGAACTGCACGCGACTCGGATGCCACGCGCCTATACACGCGACTTTGCGCAGACCCTTATGGGTCTTTCGCGGCAACTTCTTCGTGTNTTGGTCACACCGATCACGTCCATCATCTCGTCCACAGTGAAAACCTCGTCGACGGCCACCTGTTTCTCGAAGTGCTTTCGCGCCCACTCTATCTTCTCGGCTATCGTTCCGCCGTTCACTTGGATCTCCATTATGTGCGCCTTCTTCTGGCGCTTACGCATGAGTTTCATCTGCGTGTGCGCTATGACACGGATGACAGTGCAGTACTTCTTCATGCGGATCAAGTCCTTCTCGATGTCGCGTTTGCCCGACGGGTCCGCCCACTTCTTAGCCGTTTTGGTGAACGCCTTCTTCTTTGATTTATACCTTTATTTAGATTCAGATTTGGATACGAAATGAGATAACAGTCTCAGTCACCGGACAGACGCTGTCCGCGAGAGGAGACCGAAGACATCGTACTATTGACGCCAATCACTGAACTCTTGAGAACAGGTCTCTCAGAGGAGTCCGCGGATCGCATCAAACAAAAGAAGACAATTCTTACCAATTCTTATAATATCTTCGTTTGCATTCTTCGCTCAGATGTTCAGCCCATACGGTCTTAAAGGCACGCAAACCCTTCGGGGTCTCGATATAGCCGACGACTCCGACGATAACCATCGGCGGTGTCTCCAGAATAGTCACCGCTTCCACCACTTCCTTCTTATTCACCTCTATTTAGGGACAATTCAATGGTAAGACAATGCAATGCAGTGAACACGTGGTGTGTGTACGACACGTGTGCGCGCGGATCAGTTGGCGAGACTTACTTGAGCCGGGTTTGTCCACTTCGCGCACGATGTGTGTCATACCCGCCTTATAGGCGATGAAAGCGGTCAAATGGATCGGTTTCTTGGGGTCGTCTTTGGGGAAAGCCTTCACTTTTCCTCGATGTCGACGACTCCGCTTCTTCGGAGTGAAGGCCATCGAGCCATGTCTTGGGGCAGAGAACTTGCGGTGAGACTATGAATGACATACGATAGGTGTGGTTAGGCATCGGTTTGTATGAAATCAAGTGTTAGTTGAAGACAATTAGTGGTGAATTGTGTGGCAAATGAGATAATGAGAGGATCCGTACTAACCATTGCTTTACACGCTTTGAATGGAAAGGAAGTGGAAATGTGTTCACTCTTTATATAAGGCCTCAAAGCTATGCACTGCGCGTGCGCTGAATCCGGCACGAGTTTGTTATCAGATATGGTGTTACACCAAAGCACAGCCCCCTTAGGTATATTGGTTGCAAATATGACTTTAAAGTCCCTTATGTTTAATCCCTTAACCCCTTCAAAGTAAACGTAATTTAATTGATATCTATTTTAAATAAGTAATAAATGCTCAAAAAGTCCGTAACATTAAATAGTAGATAAGTTGCGCCCTTTGCATGCATTGATTGGTCGTATATCTGGGAGAATATCTGTCAAATGCACTCATATTCTGGTTCTTATGACATATGATATGAATTTTAATCATATTTTTTGTTTTCTCCAATTCTTGAGAAATAGCATCAA